GGGATTTCATGGAAGTCGTTTGGTGTTTAACACCCTCCTCATGCCCAGCTGTATCTCTGTATCCAGTTACATTTTCTATACAGATTAAGTGATCTACGTCACACTTATTTAGATGCATGGCGGTTTGAACTAGCACCATTACTTCCATTCTTAGATATGCATGTTGTAACGCTCATAAGTTCCTTTGCCACAATTGTGTGCATCAAATCTCTGCACATGAACACTGCCATGACCAAATGAAGAGAGTATCACATCACAATTGTAACAAAGGAACTTATGAGCGTTGCAACATGCATATCTAAGAATGGAAGTAATGGTGCTAGTTCAAACCGCCATGCATCTAAATAAGTGTGACGTAGATCACTTAATCTGCATAGAAAATGTAACTGGATACAGAGATACAGCTGGGCATGAGAGGGGTGTTAAACACCAAACGACTTCCATGAAATCCCCTTGTTATATATATATATATATATATTGGGATATTTCAATTTATTCACAAACCATACAAGGTTTAGTTAAATACTATTTATTTCCCTTTTTTTTTTTGTTTTTTTTTCCCCCCTGTTTCAAACTCAAATTCCCATCCACTAACCAAGCCTATAATATAAACCCAAAGTAGAAAATGCTCACAGAAGAGACCGACCAGGTGAACCAAATCCATTTTTTCTAATTAAAGCGTTAGTCCATCATGCCTAACCCGTGGAATAATTTATACGTATTCTTAGCCTTTCACAAATATTATGTATACAAAACTAAATGCCCAAATGAACATTAATCAAGACAATAGGATTGAATCTTGCTCTATCAACTAAACGGGCCATAATTTTGTTAAAATAGAAATAAATTATTTGAAACAAGAAATATCAAGTGCAAAGGAGCTTCAAAACAAAGGAGAAAGACTTGAAACGTGGCATGAAAAATTATAGTTATAAAGATTCGATCAGAATAAAATAAACAAGGCAAAATAACGCATCGCAAAGGAATGGTAACACAGGTTTAGCAATTCGGGATCTAAGTCTCAGCAAAACTTAAAGAAAATAAATCACTTAGCATTAGTATAGAACTGGGATTTTGAATCGAATTACATGGTATTTCCCCCTCAAACCCAAGTCGTTCCGTTACTTTACTGTGAATTGAAGGCAAAGCAGAAACATGTACCTGGTCTTGGTGAGAAAATTTGCTTTATTGAAGTGTACAAGACTTAGAAAAATCCCACCCTGCTATTTTTTTTTTGTTTTTTTACTAACTTTCTGATATTCAAAAGTCATACTAAACTCCGGCTACTTTGAAGTCAACTCACGTTGAACTCCATAAGAGAGCAACTCTCCCAACACTTATTTTTTCATTTGCAAGACTTGAACTCCATAAGAGGAAACTCTACTAACACCTGTTTCTCCATTTACAAGATTTAAACTTAAGACCTTACTTTAGAGAAACTTAAGACCTTATTTTAGAGGAACTAAACTCATTCCACTCGAACCAATGGATTTTTGATAAAATCCCACCATGTTTCTCCTAGCAATTTGTTTCTCTTCCCTGTTTTTTCTTTGGAAATGCAGAAGAGCTGTCCCAAAAACTCTTGCCCAACTCTCCTTTTATACATAAGAAGAAGGAGACCCTCATTTCTAACCAAAATAAAGTCTCCATTAATACAAAAAATCACTTAAATCTCTATAAATTACTTCTAGGATTATTTCTTTTACTTCACTTAAGATTTCTTTCTGATTTTCAAGGATTCTTACTAGCAAAATACTTTGGGTATTCTGTAGTCCTACTAAATACCTAATCTTGAATTGCTAAAAGTTGAAAATTGGTTAATTTATAAGGATTTCCTAATTTTCCTGCTTCATTCAAGGCTCCTTGAAAGTTTGAATTTTGAGAAAAAAAGGTTTCACCCATTCAAACCAAGACTTTGTCTTTGAAGTTTTTGGACTTGCTTTAACAACTCTTCTTGATTTTGGATCAAGATAGTTATTTGGTGATGGATACTTTGAACAAAAGGATCTGACTCTCTTTTTATTCAAAATTTGAGTTTTTTTTACTAGATTGACCTTGTTTTTGACGAGTTCAATTTGTTATTGCAAGTAGTTTTGATTTTCAATTATTTTTATAATATTTTTCTTATAGTACTTTTTGAAATTTAGGAACTATTCAAGTACTATTTTTTCTTTTTCCTTTTGTTTTTTATAATTTTTTTAAAAAATTTATAATTAAATCTATAATACTATTTAATTTACTATTATCCGAGCGCAAAATAAGACAAAAACCCATAAAAATTACACACCAACTTATGATTATTGGAAATTTTTTTGGCTTTTTATCTTTACATGAATTGACCAGATCTAAATAATCTAGATTCATATAATTTTACAAGAATGACTAATATTAACTAGAACAACAAAATAGTTAAATAAAACATAGTAGCAAATAGTCACCGGTAACATTTATAGTAATAAACAATAGCAGACAATAACTAAGTTATAAATACAAATAGTATTGACACAAGTAAGCAAATATTGACTAAGACAAAGAAAATAACAATTAGTAGACAAAATACTGACAAAAAAATAACAAATATTGACTAGAGTAAGCAAGATAGCAACAATACGTAGTAAATGGGAAGCTTGACTCTTGAATTTTGGGCAACTTATCTCAAAGAAATTACTACAACTTGACTATTTGACAATGAAATACAACTTTTGAAATTTTGGCAAAGAAAATTCGACTGTAGACTAAGATTTGTCTACTTCCTATACCCTATACAAACATATAAATGATTTAGTTTGGATACCATTTTTAGACCTTTTGAAAGACACTCACTTAAAAATAGTAGAAATATTTCAAAAAACTAAGAGGCAAGACCTACTTCAAGAAGCAAGTGAAAAAATTGATCTAATAAGAACTCTTGACATTAAAGAGGATTGTAGGTAGATAAAACCTAATCTTTTGTCTATATCCAACATAAAGACCAAATAACATAAAGTCTTTAGATCAAGAAATTATATTATGCTACCTTAAAATCTAAAATCATGGAATCATCTAAAATCATAGGCAACCCTTTGATAAGGATGTTTTCTAAAAGAAAACAAATTCAAGAATCTATAAAGGTCGAAACCTTAATAGATCTTGAGGAACAAATAAAAAAATTTAGAACTCATAAATTTGACTTGGTCAAACCCAAGCTTCTTTGTGAAAATGCCAATTCCTCGTTTAGTGCTGGATCTATTTTTCAACATTATCAAAAAGCTCAAATATCATGTGACAGGGGTAGTGAAAGTGTTATCCTAAGACTATTAAGTAAAAATGGATATTTTAATCTTGAAAAGATGAAATATTCATTGGTTCACATAATGTTGATCACCATAGGAGTTAAGACACACAATAGAAAGTGTTTAGGTACAAAATGCTTTTCAACTCTTTTGGACATAAGACATCAGGATATGGTTCAAGCCCTTATAGGATCTATGGAAACAAACTTATCAGAACAAAGGGGATTTGCTTACTTTACTCTCAATTTCCAAATGGATATAAAAGCCTTTAAGCAATTTATAAAGGTGGGAATCATGACCAAAGGCTATTTCATGATTGATGTAGAAAAGAACCTTTTTGTTTGCGTGGGATTTACCACCCAAAGTACTCATAATGGCACCACTAATTATAGAGTAATTAGTGAAGAAACATGTGAGATATATGGGACAAAGGGAATTAAGGTCATTCAAGCTAAACATTTAGATTCAACCTATCTAAATGGAACTAAATGAAATATCACTAAATTACTTAATAAACCCATACTGGTACCTACTCAAAACACCTTATATCAAAATTATAAGGGAGAAACAAGCGCATATATATATATGGGCAAACAAAAATGCAAAGGTAAAAATTAAGCGTGGTAAGATCAAAGAAAAAAAAATTAAGGGTGGTGGTTTGGTGTGATAAAATATAGATTATCTTTCCATAAAAGATTAGATTGTCTTTCCATAATAGCCAAGGAAAATATGATCATTACGTGTGCAAATGAGTCGAGCCGTGTGATGTAGTTCAGTACTCAAGCTCGAGCAAGAACTTCAGCTCAAGTTTGATTTGGGTTGGAATAGCCTTAAGTAGCTGACAAGCTTTGAGAAAAAAAATTAATATATAGTTAATTCTTTTATTATTATTATTATTATTATTATTATTATTATCTTGGTTGCACAATGGGAGACAACCATCTCTCATTCCTTATCCCACCCCACCTGTATGTCATGCGACTCGAACTTAAGACCTCTTATCTCCAATGGAAGGAGTTGTTGGCCTTTTATTAAATTTGAGTTAAAGCTCAGGTAGCTTGCTAGCTTTTAACCTAAGCTCAAGCTTCAAAATTTTTAGCTTTAGTTCAAGCTTAAGTCACATAACTTATGACTACTTATTTACAGCCGTCTAAACTAAGAATAAACAGACTTATTATAAGAAAAAAATTAACAAAGATTTAACTACTAGTTATGTTTAGTGAAGTCAATACATAAAATCATATAAAAGAATATAGCCACCAATAAGAGTTTGGTTGAATTGGTACGTACTAATTTAAAAACCTTAATTTGAGTTCATGGTTAAGAATTCAAGCTCTTATATTGTCAAACAATTGACTTCTCAGTATACCAAATATATATATATATATAAATATAGCAAACTAAAGTCCACTCCAAGGATTGGCTTATGGTGGCACTAACTAACTCGTGGCACGACCAATTTAGCCATCTCACAAAATTACAAAGGAAAATTATTCTTAAGCGGTTTGATTAGAATTTTATTTTGAATTAAGTGAAAATCTAATTTTGTATCTTATATAAGTGAAAAAACACTAATTAAATTTATCACAAGTGTATCAAGTCATTTTTAAAAAGTCTATACTACCCTTCATACAATTATGCGCTTATACATAAATTCTTATTATTTAGAAGGCAAAAACTATAGTTCAAGGTGAACTATTTTACTTTCAACAGTCACCACTTCTCCCT